GGTAAAATACTTTTTTAACATTTGAGCAAACTCCTAGCCCTAAATATACAGTAAAAGCTTCACCTGTCCTACACCACTGTGCTTTGGACCCGAGTTAATCTTAAAGACATCGAGGAGGGAGCTTTTACTTTTTTTAAGATTATACGATATAAGACTTACATATATAATTGCAGTCCAATGGAAAACACTCACCTCTACTTTTGGTAATGTTGACTTTTACCACAGATGGAATTCACACTCTTTTTACTGTTTTAACTGTGCATTGAAATTCCATTAAAAGGATGTTTAATCAGGTCATTTATGTAACTAATATCTCCATTGGCCTTGAAAAGTGAGTGTCAAAACCATTTATGTTCTGGTTTCCTTAGCTGTCGGGCTGTCTAAACTATAGACTGTAGTTCATGCACTGCACCCAGAACCCATATCTCAAACTGATTTTGAGCTAAAATAGTAAGTGAAAGATCAGATTGTATTCAAAAATAAACTCTCAAACAATCGATAGTCGAATTAAAATGTCTAACAGATGTGTAATGATAGAATTCTATTATGCCAAAAGGGACAAATTATATTGTTTTTATTCATTTGGTAAGGTTGTTTATGAGAAGAAAAAAAAAAACTTTTCCATGCTCTTGAGAAATGAATTTTTTTGGAGATATGTGTTTTTCTCCTGACAGCAATGATATGAGCCAGATCATAGATACTTGAGACTGGGCTCTTTTGATTTGGGCCAATAAACAAGCACCTAGAAACCATCTTGAACTCTAGTAAGCACATATCAATACCCTGGTAACAACCCACAACACCTTAATATCTTGGTGGCCAGGTTTGCAGAGGAATTGCCATTTAAATTTAATTGAAAAATACTAGCTATTTCAATTTGCTTTCACTAGTGGTGTAGAAATTCTTCACACTTCGCCTTTAATCGTCATATTTCATAATCTTTCTTCAGTAGCTAATCTGCACTTTCAACATATACATAACCTCTTGCACCATAATAAAGTGATGTTTTTTTACATAGCATTGAAAGATGATTCTGACTGGAGACATTCCATAAGCTATATTTGCACCATTTGTCTCATTCCCTCAGATAGCAGGATATTTCCTCACTGTAAATACCTTCTTTGTCTTCAGGTTTTGCACCCAGATCTGGAAGGAGCAGATAATGCCTTCCCACCCCCTCGTTCTGCTCCATCCAACCTCAAACTGCTGGTAAGAGCCTGGCTTGTCTATTTTCGCTTTTACAATCTTGCAAGGTTACATGTGAATTTTGCGGAATGTGTGGCTGACACTCATGTGGCCGACATGGGAGTCTCTTACTGGGTCTTCAGGGGGCTGAAAAATCTGTTAATTTCGAACTCCCATCACGTACACAGTTTATTTTGAGGCGAGAAAATTTTCACTCTGACTCATTCCATCCTCATACGTTTATCTGGAATGTCTCTCAGTCGCTTCTATTCTGGCTTTCTTGTTTTTGACAGGATAAGGAGGTGAGGGCGGTCTTCCTGCACTTGTTTGCACAACTCTTACAGGGCTACAGGTCCTGTCTGCAACTCATTCGCATCCATTCCGAACCTGTGATTCACTTTCATAAGGTGAGAGCAGGGAGCTGATCTGCAGCTTTATGATGTTAAACCTCGTTTGCAGAGTAATCAGGCCCATCAGCCCACGAGCGATTAGGAGCAATTACTGTCATCATGCCAGATCAGTCCAGTAAACTCAAGTGCTTGCATAATGACTGTTCGAGAAGGATCTTCTTGCTAATTATGTCCAGGGTTTTCAGTGAGAGGTCTGTAAGAGTTCAGCAGGGGTCTGTAGGCAGATATACAGTATGATACTAATATTTTATGTATTTGAAAATGTATTTCTAAATGTGGTAGATTAATGACCTTTTCTCTCAAAAATCATCACCGTCATGTTATTTCAAGGCCTGCATTAATTTATTCTGTGGAACTCAGTGAATAGGAACTAGCACTTTCAAGCATAGGGATGGAAAAACCATGAAAATACCAAAAATACCAAAACCATGAAAATACCAAAATGAAAACATACAATGTATCTTCTATTTGTCTTATGTCTTTGTCTTAAGTTGTATACTATGGCCTAAATTTAAAGCAAGACATTACAGGCAAATCCATTGTTTTTTTTCCCCCCATTTTCTTCAGGCAATGGTAAATTTTGAAATTTTGGCCTATTTTGCATCAATAACTTGACTTATTTAAAACTCAAAGCCTGACATTAACATGTTTCTAAGCTAGTAGCATGATAACCAAATAAACACAAAAATACACAGTTATTGGTTAAAATAGACAAGCGAAAAGAAAACATCCAAAATACACATTTAAGTGTTTATTTTATTACACTTTATCTATCAGCATCTGTAGATTTCAATTACAGTACATATCTTTTTTTCCCCCAAAATGAAGTTTATCTCATTCACTAAGCCTGAAATTCCCACTTGAGTAACACTTTTATATAT